AGGGGGCAGGGGTAATCCCAGTGGGCAGCACAGGCAGGAGCCGTCCTCCTGGGCTGCATCCGCAAGGAGGAAGCGAGACTGGGGAGAGGAACTAGAAATAACCAGAGAACAGGGAGAGGAAGAGCACTGCTCACTGGGGATATCTCAACCCAGCCCCAGGCTGGTGTGTTTGCATCTGGGGTGGGTCCGTTCAACTGAACGTGGTTCATGAAGGAACAAAGATCAAGTTCCTGGTAAGGCTGGGTCACGGAAGAGCTGCCTGTTTACAGGAGGGCTGTAAACCAGGTCAGTGCTCTGTGGGTGATCCCAGTGCCCATAAACCATGCCAGCCTGTGGCCGACGCTGTCCTGTCTCCAGGGAAAAGCTTACAGCTTGCCCATGCTGCTGCCAGGTGGTTGGCACCTCATCCCCCTTTCCTCCAAGCACCATGGGAATATTTGCTCTGTTTTTTAGCCATGAAATTACTAAAACGCCTTTGTGTCCCCTAGACAGCGCCCTTTGGCTTGTCGCAGCCAAAGGAGAGCACTTGTCCCTGCTCTGTTGTGTAAGGAGGGCACTTGTCCGAGCTCCAGCCCAGGTCCCCGTGGTGCTCAACAGCCTCCGACTCTGCCGCCGGAGCAAGCAGGGTCCTGGCAGCAGCTAAGGCAGTCCTGTGCTTTCAGAGCTCCCTGAGCCATGTCCGCTTAAGGCTAAGACTGAGTGCTGGCCTGCACGCAGCATTTCATTTCCCAGCAAAGCAATTTAAAGTTTCATTCCTGGGAAAAGGGATTTTTTGGGGGAGGGTAGCAGGAAACCATCGTGCTGCCCCGTCAGTTTCTGGCCTCGTACTGCAGCACCTTGGCTGGTCACATCCTTGGAAACAGTGGTTTTGCAAAATATTAACTAAAGCCCGCCAAAACAGGTCGATAGCCTTCAGTCTCTATTTGCAGATAAAGTGAGTGACCTCAGCCAGGTGGCACAGACAAGGTGACCCCTGGGGACAGCGGTACCCAGGAATGTCCCCGTCCTGCACAGCTGGCCCTGGGTTAACTCTGCCTTCCCCAGCCAGTGACAGAGCCCAGCCCGCCTGGGGAGCAGCGTGCCAGGGAGATGGAACTGCTCACCGTGACCCACTGGCCAGCACCTCTGCCCCAAGCACAGCCCTGCTCCAGTAATCCTGCTTCTCCCCAGAGCTTCCCAGGCTGAGCTAATTTCCGGCTGGATCTGTTCCCTGATCCAGCCACCCGGAGACCCAGCGCAGCGGGGTGGCTGCGCTGTCAGACGCCCCTTGCCCTGGGAGCCTGTGCTTGGTTCAGGTTGAAGCATCCGTGAAACCAGCCCTGGGTGATTTCCGCTGCAGCATAGGGCACGCAGGTCCCTCCAGCCCAGGGGCCAAGAGAAAATCATCCCCAGCAGCAGCCGTTTGAAAGTTTCACAAATCTCTTCCTGCTGCGAGATAAACCTGAGCCTCTTTGCCCTCTCCCTGGGGATAAGGAGGGTGGTTACTCCTCACCCTCTGCAAGAAGCAACTTTTCACACTTCCATTTATCCCCCGTAGGGTAAACTGACACAGCACGGCCGCTCTCACCTTGGGGACCGTCCCTCCTGCTGCCTCCATCTGTCCGGGGAGCGGGAACCTGCCTCTTGGCAGAGCCACCCTTCGGTGACAGAGGGAGGACGTAAGTCCAATTTGGCAGGTTCATGTGCTGCCCTTTGGAGGCCACGACTGCTGTTTGCTTGTTTTGTCCCCTCCACAATCACCTCCCAGGACAAGTACCTGGTTGGGGTGAACATCTGGCTGTGCCCCACAGTTGGGGTGAACATCTGGCTGTGCCCCATCACCTCCCAGCCCCCTCTCCACCATCCCCCAGCAGGTACAGCCCTGATGGCATGTCCCTGGCTCACCTCTGTGCTGCCCTGTGGTGTGGCCAGAGCAGCACCCTCCCAAAATGCCCCTCTGAGAGCTTTGGGCTGCAAGAGAGGCAGAGCTGCCCACCAGCCTGGGCTCAGCCACGTGCACTGGGAGCACTGGGTGCTGGCACCCAGCAGGTTTCCCCAGGGCTCAAGGTGAGCCTTGCAGCCTGACCAGAGGCCCCGGGAAGTGTACGGGGCACGCAAATGTACCCTGATGAGCATCAGTGGAGAGAGGGGTGCCTGCAGCAGCCTGCCCTCCCTGCTGAGCTAGCCCTGGGTGCTGGGATGTGAGCCCGCACCCCTGCCAGGCTCTTTCTACAAGCCCCACTGCTCACGTGCACCTTCACCGATGTATAGTGAAAGGCTCT